CATCAGATGAAGCCTGTAAGGCCATAGGCACCCCCCACGGGTGTGTTTTAGTCAGTAAGAGTCTGACATAACTCTACAGCCGGCTGTAGGGTATCCATGAGGATTTCACACCCGCTCCCCCGCCTGGGAGGAAACAAAAAAAAGAGAAAGCGAGCTTCATTCAATATTTGGCTGTTGATGCGTTCAGAGCGTTCGACCTTATTGAGAAACCGCGCTTATCTATACTTATAATAAATCTGTAGAGATGTCAATTCTGTACATGAAATATATTTTTAAAATAACTATCAGGGGGTGATTAGTGATCGATACTGATGCCAAAAATGCAATCAGTAAATTTTTTGTCTGTCTGTCTGTCTGTCTGTGTGTATGTTCTTTATAGAAACAAAAACTACTCGACGGATTTTAACGAAACTTGGTACAATTATTCTTCATACTCCTGGGCAGGTTGAAGTATACTTTTCATCACGCTACAATCAGTAGGAGCAGAGTAGTGAAGGGAAATGTTGGGAAAACGGGAGAAGTTACTCCATTTTATAAGCTTCCGTCGCGTGTGCAGCCTTAATGATTAAAGTTACATAGAAATCATGTATGACGGAAATATTCTACATAAAATTGTCTAAAAAGTATCCCGCAACAGCATATGTCTATCTTTTATGGTTGACTCACAATAACACGTGTAACTCCCGATAGCTTAGCAGTTCGGAGCATTCTGATCATATTTGTTTACTCTTACGTTTATAATACTCGGTATAGAAACACCAAACTTATACATGAAATAAGCCATCGCGCCGTCGCACGTGAATACTGAATCATGCTATAAGGATTATTTTTGTGTAACGGTTGCCGCGCTCGACACGGGTCGCGGCAGCGGTAGGGTATCAAAGGTCCGAGGGCGAGCTGTCTAAATCTGTTTTCTGCGTCGCTCCCCCTCTGGGGGACGATCGCTTCCGATGAAGCCTTAGAGGCCTTCCCGGCCAGAGGCAGCCCCTACGGGTGTTTTTTAGTCAGTACGAGTCTGACATAACCTTGCAGCCGGCTGTAGGGTATCCATGAGGATTTCTCATCGGCTCCCCCGCCTGGGAGACCGAAACCGTGCTTATCAGCGCGACTTTTAGTCTTTAAATAGTTTATTTGAATTTCTTTTGTTGTTATTTTGTAAAACAGGTATTAGTTCTGTCTGTCACATCAAAACCACGGAACCCTGAGGAAGGACATATGCTACTTTTTTACGAAAAACGACGATAACGTGGACGAAGTCGCGGGCAAAAGCTAGTATTACAATAAGTTTAGTTAAAAAGGATATTTTCTTAACAAATCAGTAGCTATAGCAACAACCAATAGGCAATAGACAATATTGTAGAGATGTGGTCTCTTCACATATACTTCTATAGTTCCGTTACACGTATTTTTTTTTATTATGATCTAAAAATACTCTTAAACATACTTTTATACTTCGTTTTTGTATTACTTGGTATGTCATAACCTCCAAAACTTCAAAGTAGAATATCTATTAATCCAGATTTCCTATAATAAAAGAAAAAGGACGAATCAAATTGACAATTTAAACTCTATAATTTAAAATGTAATTCATTTATAGAAGCAAAAAAATTTTCAACACAAATTTGTATGGGAGTTCGCCATTGTCCTTTGATAAAAGCTCCGCAAATAAAGCAGAGTCCGCGTAGTTTTTACTTATTTTGAAAGGCATTTTACCGCTCAAGACTTACAAAATACCTTACGTCGTTTCTCTAAAATGTGTGTACACACACTAAGCGACTGCTCTACTGCTTCCTGTTCCGTACCTGATATCCTTATGCTTATTAAAAGCAATAGTCCCTCAGCCTTTAATAAAAATCATACATTTTTTATCACTGTACAAAGTATTATACAAAAGCTAAGTTTTTTTTAGAGATATTTTTCGATGTAAACAATCAGACAATAGTCATTAAATAGCACTCATTTTTTTTCATTTTGTTGACTTGTGTTTCCTTATGATTTTATATAGTTTTTATTGTCGTTATAAATGCATTGAAGTCAGCAATTTAAAAGTTTCACTTAAGTGATATTTACGAGAGGTAGGAATGCCAAAACAGGTAAGAATTTGTTATATTTTGAATTCGTTTTATTTTTAGGGTTCTGTACCGCAAAAGTAATAATCGGCACTCTTATAGGATCACTTTGTTGTCCGTCTATCTGTCTGTCAAGACCATAGAGGTCTCGGAAACGCGTTGAGGTATCACGTTGAAATTTTTAAACCATAAAATTAGGTCCCTTAAAGCTATGACAAAATTCAAAATTCTAAGTTAACGTAAAAAAAGATACGGCCATTCATGTTGCTTACCAAGTACGGAAGTACGATCCCGGCTCGCAGTATTTCGGTTTTTTTATTTAATTTTAAATTCAGAAACTGTCGAAGATGATTGGTTAGTACTTTTACGAAACATGTACTCATTCTTACCACATATAACGTTTTCTATTATTGATTTTAATTTCATGTGTTTAATGATGGCGAGAAATCACAAAAGAAAGACTGAAAGGGGAAAATAAGAAGCTCTGTAGAAGCGTGCGTAAAATGGTTAATATAACTTTCTCACTCACCCTTTTGATGTAAGAAAAGGCAATGAAAAAGAAGATAGAATCAGACGACGCAAATAAAGACGACTGTTCTAAAAAAGAATTACATAAGCGAGATCAGTATAAGACTTTTCATCCCTCATACCCCTATGAAGCAGATGGGGAGATACCCCTTTTCTTACTTTTTGCAATATTGCGACTTGTTCTTTTGTTTGATCTTCCAAGTAAATGCTTTTAGATAGTCTGATTACCATAGATAATTTTAATTATAAATATAATGCGATTCAACTAAGAATAGGACCGACTGGGCGCCATATTGTGCCGTCATAGCTGTCAATTCAAACAAAATAGGTAGAGTGGGCAAAAAAAGTTCTTATTTACTAAGATTAGGTGAGAAAAAACATCAGATTTTTTAACAAAATTATTTATTAAGTTAGAGAAAAACACCAACCGATTTTAAATAATATTTGAGAAAAACTTTAAACAGAATCTAGCTCTTCAATTCCGCTCATCTCTGCATTACCGCCGGAGTATGTATAATATGAATAATCATGTATTATGGCTAGGTCACATACGAACATGCATCCTTTATGTAAACGAAAGTTTTAAATCGAGTTTATGAACACAACTTCAAGTAACATTTGGTTGACGATTAAGGTTATCAAACAGTCATAGCTAAAGCTCAAAAAATGAAAAAAATAATAAATTCTGTTAATTATTAATATTTGTTATTGTTTATTTACAAATGTTTGGTTTTTATTCTAGAATTAGCTGAGTCCTAATAAAGGGTTCCAAGATTTTTTTGCAAACCGTACTTTTCAAGCGACATTTGACAGATGGAGGTCATTGGCTTTCCGATTCTTATTTGAATCACATTATATGTATATTATTATGCTTCTAACCTTAGCTTCCCCGTCTTGCCATACCCTCCACTTTAAGTATCACGCTTAATATCGGGTCTTAACTGTTAAACTCCATAGTAAATTGACAATTGAGCGCGTTAAAAATGAGCGATATACCTATCATATCGCGGTGCTCACTGCTCATGCTAGGCAGCAGGTCATGGTCACGGTCAGGAGCGTATTTAAAAATAGTGGGGCCCGGGGTTGAAATTGATGCGGGGCCCATTTAAGGATATAAAAAAAACATCTGATTCCTAGTTGTTCTAAATTTCGCTTTTATGCATAATATGCATTAATGGGAATGTTAGCTAATAAAACACGCTATGTTACTCTCTAAGCAACTGTATTTATTGGATTATTGGCAAGAACTTTTTCCTATGTAGAATGAGGGGTACATGTACAAATTAAACTTCTTTTCGGTATTTCATGGAATGACGGTTGGCCCTGCAGGGCTCTAGCTCCCCAAGCCCCTACATAAATCCGCTCCTGGTCACGGTAGACGAACGAAACGAAAGTGGATAGCTAAGTATTTATTAGATGTTGCCTATGTAGGTGCTTATTGCTAATACATAAATCAGAAGTAGGTAAAGAAAAGGAAACCAGCTTTTAAGGATATACGTGTTTATTCTTTATAATGGGCTTCAATCATTCGGTTTCAGACTAGCGTTTTATACGCGCATGTAGACGCGCATTTTGCCACACGCACAACTCGTACGAGCATTGACGACCACACACCACTACTGATGGTTCGAGTGAACACGCCAAAATATGCTCGTGTACATGAGTCCATTTATTTTAAGCGCGTCATGTAGCGCGCCTGAAAGCACGTATAGCAAAACGCCCTTATACGCGCAAAAAAACGCTAGTCTGAAATCGCTGTCAGGGTTCAATACTGCAATTTTATCACGCCAGATAGCGCATCGTCTTAAGGATCACTGAAACCTTTAGTTCCATACATTTTGTAAATTGTAATTTTCTTATAATAGCTATGACTCAATGTGCTGTACCCAGATGCAGTAACTTTGTCCGTTTTGTTCCCAAAATAAAATGGGAAAAAGTCTGATTCGCTGTAACAATTCTCATACTGTTTCAAGCAGAATTATTTTGCCAAATTAATAGTGATTCAAACTTGACAGCAGTGAAATCGGCGCAAGTCGCGGCGCACTAAACGAAATGTAGGATGATGTAGGGGCGCGCGTGGTGACACTGAACTGAAACCTGCGCATTGTTGCACTCGCTGATAACTTCACAACTGTCATAACGGTTTAATCGCTCTATCCATAAAATCTATGGCTCTATCCTTATTAATAATAAACGAAGACTAAGCTTGCAATTTTTACTAGCATGTTTTGTCTCTGTTCATTGAATTACAAATGGCATTTGAGCAATATGAACAAAACTCGGCGTAACTAATCTAAGCTTATTCCTCGTTTATAAATAAGGGGGCATAAGGATAAAGTAATTATTCCAGAAGGTACTACTTTCACTATGTGGTTGAGGAAAGGATTTAAATAAAAAAAACGGTATTGTACTATTATCACTATTTACTATTCTATACGGGGTACCGCCATTTAGTTGTTGGTAAATCCGAGTGGTAAAAATTGCATTCCAGCTTGTTGAGGCAGTTGGGGCCGTAGCGACACGGCTTGGGGTGGTAGAAGAGGCACGCGGGGTTAACGCAGTTCGGGTAGAACTTGCACATGTTGGCCATACTTGACGCTGATATGGTCTTGTAGTTGGCCGCTGGCACCACGTGGGAGGCTGTGGGAAATAAAACGAAAATTATTTATAACTTGTTGTCCCAGTGACCTTCGTACCGCCTTAAAAACTAGGGTATGATTTACTGCTACTGCTGCTACTGCTTTAGAGACGGAGCTATACTCACATATTGCGGGTTCGGTTGCGGTCGGAACGTGCGAATAAACGCAGCGGCTTTGAACTTGCAACACGGGTGCTGGAACTACACATATCAAAAAAGTTTAAGCAACCCCGCATAATTTACAGAAACTGTATGTTTTATTAATTGATGTTAATTTTCTTTCGTAGCAAAGTAGATTGGTATACAATCTTTTTTTGTTCACGAAAATACAGTTGGGAGGTTTTGAAAATAGAAACTTTTTTAGCCGTCCGCATCAGCCGGGCCTAGGCCCGGCTGATGTTGGTCAGGGCCGCGTATATATGGAGTGTTAGCCTTCGAATTTTACTTGCGCGATTTAGGCTTCTATACGAATTGATCGCAACGCCGGTAGAGCCATCTCTTGAGGAGGTGAGTGACTATTTCCTCCATGCTGATTATACGTGGGGCATATAGATGTAAACTTACATATTGCGGGCACGGGCGAGGTAGGAACGTGCGAATAAACGCAGCCGCGGCGTGTGCACGCGGCGTTAAACTTGCAGCGCGGGTGCTGGAACGCGCACGCGGAACCGAACCGGCATAGTGGGAACGATCGACACCATGTTGTGCCTGATTTACGATCCGCCGCTGATACTGATGACAAAAGTTAATCATTTTTTCAATAGGGCACCTCTACATACAAACACTTAGGCTCGTATTACAGAATGACAACTAAATGTTGATCTTTACTTGAATACAGTTAGAAAGAGATGTCGCTATACATAGCTACATCCTTTTCTAACAGTAGAAACAATATTTTTTGTTTGTCAAGTTTAAGGTTCGTATTACAAAAAGGCAACTAAGTATGACGATGACGCGGGTGGTTAGCGCTATCAGCTGCGATCGATGTAGTTAAGCAACTTTTCGCAGTGGTCGGTCATTGGATAGGTGATCAAAAATATTCTATCACGAGTTCTTCCGTGCTTCAGAAGGCACTTTAAGCCGTTGGTCCCGGCTGCATTTGCAGTCGTTAGCACCCGCCAATCCGCACTGGGCCCGCGTGGTGGATCATGGCCCATCTCCCTATTCCATCCATAGGGAAGGCCTGTGCCCCAGCAGTGGGGACATTAATAGGCTGATGAATATAATGAACTAAGTATGTGCTATACAAAGCGACATCCCTTTCTACTGTACTCAGGTAACGATCAACACTTAGTTGTCATTCTGTAATACAAGCCTTAAACTTGACAAATAATGGGTCATTCTTCACTCATACACTTAAACTACCTATAAAACTTTAATGGCTGCCCCTTATACACATACTAATTACCGTAAAACTATCGGCTGCCCTCGATAAGTAAATTAAATTAAGTTCTCTATTTGCTGTGCCCTGTTCAGGGTCTATAATGATCAAAGCAATGTACCTACTAAGATGTAAGAAAACATTGTAGAACGCAATAAATTATTGCTTGATTGATAGTTAGACTAGAGTTGATGCGTTGATGCTGTCCCATTCTTAGACAACACATGACTTAGATCGCGTTGTTTAATCGATAGTAAAATTTGACTATAGTCAAATCCTATAAAAAAACATTTGTGAAAATTTTGAATGTGAGAAATTAATTGTAGTGTTGACATCCTTACAGAAGCTTATCGTGAAAGCTGACTCGATGTGCTAAAACTCCAAGAAACATTAGAATGTGTCACCCCACATTGTAATGTAAAAAAAAGAACATTAATAAAACTAAAGACTAGGCTATATGGGCATTCTAAAAAAATCAACGAAGCTTGCTCAAGGAGGCACGAGCATTTTGCAATTCGGTGTGCGCTGACACTTAGTTGTAAGGTGTCTACGAAACTACATTAGCTGGAAAATTACAATATGAGTAGGTACTTTCAAACTTAGTCACCCTTATCGGATACAGCAACATAAGAAAAATATAATCACAAATAGAATAAAACCCTTTAGAAAATGTTAAACGCGTGTCAGTATTAAGTATTTCAGAAAATAAAGGTCATAAATACTCACAAGGAGGCACAGAATCGTATTTATGCGTGTTGGTCGCCGTTTTGACTATAACGTGGCTGTCGCTGCTAACACTTTCCGTCCTCTCCCTCGCTTTCACTGCTTCTTTCTCCTTCTTGGGAACGTCGAACACAATTGGCGACGCTTTTCTTTTCTTAGCAATCGAGTTATCTTCTGATTCTAAGGTAAGACTTTTTCTCTTTTCAGGCTTTCCTACTGTTGGGTTAGTTTTATCTTCTTCCACTTCTTGTTTCACTATGACACGAGTTTCGCTCTCTTCGCTTTCATTACTTAGACGTTTCTTATCAAGAATTGACTTATTGACTGTATTTTCGTTATCACTTTTTGCCGCTGCTTTTGAAGATAATTCTTTGGTTTTAGCTGCGTCTAAGTTTGTGTCGTCTGTAGTTTCTATTTCATCTCTAGTCTTTGAGTCCTCTTTAGTTTTTGTATCACTTTTAGATTTAATGTCCTCCTTAGTATTAATATCACTAATTGTTTTCAATACTGATGTTGTTTCTTTAGGTTTCTCTGTCACTTCATCTCCTTCGTTCAGCAGGCCTTCAGTCATGAGTTTCTTGGCTAGGAAAGCGTTTGGATTAAACCCGTCCATTGTTACTATGAATTGTGTGTTTTTGTCCTTGTCTACGGTTGGGTTGTGGATGTTGCTGTAGATTAAATAATAATACAAAATGAGCATAGATAAAATTTCCCATTTTTTTATAATATCTAGGGAATAGTCTATATCGTAATTTTATTTTTTTATATAGAACGCAAATACTCTTGAAGGGGGTTCCGAAAAACCTTGTAATACTAGAAGATAGGTACAAGATATATTTAACAGGGCAGTTACGATCTCGGCACGTCCAATCTCTCTATTCCATCCATAGGGAAAACTTGTGCCCTAGTAGGCTTAAGATGATATAAGGGTATTTGATAATTAACTTACATAGTCTCTATAATAAGTGAATCGTCTCGCCGACTAGCTGTTCTTCCCTCGTTACGCGTGGAAGGCACATAGTTGGTGTTCTTGATCTTCATCTTAATCGACTTCGGCATATAGTCATCCCTACTACTAACGCCGAGTCTGGAAAGAATAGAGAGTATGAGGAATGATTTCGACATATACAGTGATGCAAGTCTTAGCATAAATGTGTAAACTTTGAAATCACCTTTATAGGTCACATTTATCCTTTTATGGTAAATAAAAAAAAAAAAACTAGAAAGCGATAGACCTATTAGAGTTTGGCTGTCTAGATATATTATTGCTAAAATTATAAAAGCAACTATTGTAAAAAAACAGAACCAGATCATCGGTACCCTTTACGGAAGTTGATTATTAAATCTGGCTGTTAAAAGATTTCAATAGGCTATTTGAAAGTTTTTGTAAACGTTCATACGTTATTTATTAGTGTTAAGTGACACCACAAAAATTGGATATTTATAATTCTGTTGTTATTATAATCAGTAAGAATAAAAATTATGTTTCAAATATGCCTCGGAAACGTTTCTCTGGCAAATATGGTATTTTATAGGCAGGTGACGTCACACGGCTCTCGTTAACGCGTCCAACAGTACAAAGTAATGTCACTTCAACGGTATGTTTACAAGCAAGTGACGTCATTTTAGGCTCTGCCAATCCTAGACGTTTTCGGTCACGTGACAATAGATAATAAAATTTCCTCTCAATATTTTTAGTAATATTAACTACTTTTTATTGTCAGATAGTGAAATCGCTCCTAATATTCATTTTATATACACATTATAATAACTGGTACTTACTTTATTTTTCATACTGTCAAATAGCCTGTTAAGTATTTTCAGAAAGGTGTCCCTAATATATTTTCAGATGAGTTCTACTCACTTATCCTTCTCCTCTTCGCTGTCTCCTAGGCTGACATTGTCGCTGTCTTGTACACATTCACCGGTGGGCACTTGTATAACAATTTTTGGGTCACCTACGCGTCTCATGGGTAAAACTAGGGCGCGTTTGATCTTCTGCTGTTCTTGGTCCACTTTAGGTGGTATCTAAAGAATACAAGGTTTAATTTTGAATTATTTATAATATAATAATAATTATATTATAAATTCGAGATTTTTTTGGTTAAGATGGTCTCTATAGGACAGATGATATAATTATTTTATTACAAGAAATGGGATGAGTGTATAAAACAAATACTCAATGTTTTTTCAGTTTGCTCAGACAGAGAATACTAAATTGGATACGACCTCTTGATGAAGATGACTCAAACGACCTGCAGCAGGAGATTAGAGGCGGGCCTACGATATATGAAGATGGTGACTCACATTCAGCAGGCTCTTGTGCGCGTCGGCGACGGCCCGCAGCAGGAGACTGGAGGCGGGCCTACGATATATGATGATGGTGACTCACATTCAGCAGGCTCTTGTGCGCGTCGGCGACGGTCCGCAGCAGGAGACTGGAGGCGGGCCTACGATATATGAAGATGGTGACTCACATTCAGCAGGCTCTTGTGCGCGTCGGCGACGGCCCGCAGCAGGAGACTGGAGGCGGGCCTACTATATATGATGATGGTGACTCACATTCAGCAGGCTCTTGTGCGCGTCGGCGACGGCCCGCAGCAGGAGACTAGAGGCGGGCCTACGATACATGATGATGGCGACTCACATTCAGGAGGCTCTTGTGCGCGTCGGCGACGGCCCGCAGCAGGAGACTGGAGGCGGGCCTACGATATATGAAGATGGTGACTCACATTCAGCAGGCTCTTGTGCGCGTCGGCGACGGTCCGCAGCAGGAGACTGGAGGCGGGCCTACGATATATGAAGATGGTGACTCACATTCAGCAGGCTCTTGTGCGCGTCGGCGACGGCCCGCAGCAGGAGACTGGAGGCGGGCCTACGATATATGATGATGGTGACTCACATTCAGCAGGCTCTTGTGCGCGTCGGCGACGGCCCGCAGCAGGAGACTAGAGGCGGGCCTACGATACATGATGATGGCGACTCACATTCAGGAGGCTCTTGTGCGCGTCGGCGACGGCCCGCAGCAGGAGACTGGAGGCGGGCCTACGATATATGAAGATGGTGACTCACATTCAGCAGGCTCTTGTGCGCGTCGGCGACGGCCCGCAGCAGGAGACTGGAGGCGGGCCTACGATATATGATGATGGTAACTCACATTCAGCAGGCTCTTGTGCGTGTCGGCGACGGGCCGCAGCAGGAGACTGGAGGCGGGCCTACGATATTATGATGATGGTGACTCACATTCAGCAGGCTCTTGTGCGCGTCGGCGACGGCCCGCAGCAGGAGACTGGAGGCGGGCCTACGATATATGATGATGGTGACTCACATTCAGCAGGCTCTTGTGCGCGTCGGCGACGGCCCGCAGCAGGAGACTGGAGGCGGGCCTACGATATATGATGATGGTGACTCACATTCAGCAGGCTCTTGTGCGCGTCGGCGACGGCCCGCAGCAGAAGACTGGAGGCGGGCCTACGATATATGATGGTGGTGACTCACATTCAGCAGACTCTTGTGCGCGTCGGCGACGGCCCGCAGCAGGAGACTGGAGGCGGGCCTACGATATATGATGGTGGTGACTCACATTCAGCAGACTCTTGTGCGCGTCGGCGACGGCCCGCAGCAGGAGACTGGAGGCGGGCCTACGATATATGATGGTGGTGACTCACATTCAGCAGGCTCTTGTGCGCGTCGGCGACGGCCCGCAGCAGGAGACTGGAGGCGGGCCTACGATATATGATGGTGGTGACTCACATTCAGCAGGCTCTTGTGCGCGTCGGCGACGGCCCGCAGCAGGAGACTGGAGGCGGGCCTACGATATATGATGGTGGTGACTCACATTCAGCAGGCTCTTGTGCGCGTCGGCGACGGCCCGCAGCAGGAGACTGGAGGCGGGTGCGGCCACACGTGGTCGTGGTCGCACACGGACCACGCTCGCGCAAGTCACTCGACTTGGACGACTTTCTAGCACTGACACCCTACGACGATGAATTGAGAGAAAAAAAATTGGATAAACTGTTGCTTACACAATGAAAATGAAGAAAATTCAAATATTCACTAAAATTGCCGCGAAAAGTAACCAGGGACAGACTGCGCCTGTCGAAATGTACATAGTTGGATTTTAACAAAAATACTCAATGGCTTTACTCATCTAAAGCAATATTTTCTGAATCTCATTTCAAACTCATTACATTTTATAGCGGTAAGGCACGGTCGCGTTGTAGGACGCAAATTTACTGTAAACTGTAATTCACAAGGCAACCTTACTTACTAAAGAGACTACCCATATACCTATCTGGTTAGAAATTATCTGTATGTCTGGTATTCCAAATTATTATTGACAGTCCATGAGAAAAAAAACTGATTAACATGTAACTAGATAATTCAAACGAATGCATTACCTGGAGTTAATTCTCTTTGAACTAGATTCGGATTCTTCAGAGTCCGAGCTGATTTTGTGGTCACTAAGACGACTCTTGTCCGACTTGCTGTGAAGAGATCGTTCAGGCTCCCTCTCTGGAGTAAACCTGAAAAATATTGCAAAAACACCATTTAAAATCTACGCAGTATAAAAAGTTATTAATTAAAAAGAAAAAAATGTAAATAGCAATATTTTCTAATTTTTAAGGGGCATTCTCATTTACTACCTTATATGATTTATATGATTAACCTTTCGGGACTTTTTCTCCTTTTTTCTGGTTCTCTTTCTTTCGCTTCTGGCTTCTTGGGTTCTTCGCGGGCTCCAAGCCTCTCCCTGATAGGTCTTTTGGGTAAATTCAGTTCAATATGAGGAAGTGTCTCAATTGTATTGGGAATTTCTACAGGTTTGGGAGCAGATTCTTTGGGTGGGGATTTCTGAGCTGTCAAGGGAGGTGTAGCTACTGGAGCCTGTTTTGATATTTCCTGAAATATTAAGATCTGTTTTAAAAAAACTTTGCATGTAACGAAACTAGGCTGAATTACAAATTAATATAAAGGAAATATACACTGGACTGCTAAACTAAGTATCACACTTTTAAAATTGCAATAACTTTTTAAGTGCACAAGATATACTTTTGAAATAAAAAGGACTCGAAAGAAGTTCAATTTTGTGTTTTTTATTTTAAATCTCTAATCTTAGAAAAAAAATGTGACACATACTTTTGCAATGGCCTGCATGTAGTTAAAGATTGTAAAGCTTCATTAGTAATTTGAAATTTTAAAATTACCTGAAAAACATCTTCTGCAAAATCATTCATTAATTCTTCCGCCTCAGTTCTTATTGTTAGGAAGTCCTCATCATCAGACATAGAATCCAATTGCTCAACTAATTTCTGCTTAAGGCCCTGTATTTTAGCTTCAATTACATTTATTTCATCTAACTGTTCCCTTTCATCACCTGGAGATGATACACTAGGTCCTTTATCCTGAGATGTAGACGGTTCAGGATTTTGTGGAACAGAATCAACATCTAGTTGTGAAGATATAGTAGCTGGATCTATGATAGGCACGATTGGTCTTTTAATCTCTTTAAGAACTGGTTTCACATCAGGTATCTTGGGTTCGTCTTTCAATGACTCTAGGGTAATACCATGACTTTTAAGTATTTGCCCAGCAAACACATCAGTTATAGAAGGCTCAGATTCCTTTTCCATATTCATGAGTAGTGGAGGAACGTTTGGGCGTATCCTTTCATGATGCTTACTTTTCTTTTTGCTCTTATGTAGTTTTTTGTCTTCTTTTTTGCGATGCGACTTCTCTTTCTTTTTGGCTTTCTTAGCGCTTTCTGTCTTCTTTGTTTTATCTTTATCTTTATCCTTTTTATCCTTGGACTTTTTTTCTTTAGATGAAGACTTCTCCTTGATTACTTCATGCTCAATTGTTTCTGAAAAAAAGTTTTTTTGGTGTTTATGCTTCATAAAGTTTCATACCAAATTATAATAGCATACAAGGGTAAAGTATTTCTCACTAATTGACATAGGAATTAAAAACATCAACTAATATAGGAGAGAAGGAAATAGTATTTGTAAACTAAACATAACAATTGAAATGAATTTATATGAATTTATACTTTATTCAAATGAATTGAAATGAATTTATACTTAATTCAAATTGTTTGAATTTGCATTTGATTTACATTGTCAAATATTTGTTTCAATAACATTAAACATTGCCTTACTAATGAGACATTTACATATTTATGAAAAATTATGACAGTAATTAACTAAAACCTTAGGTGAATCAATGCAAAGGTATGAAGGGATTTTTTTAAATTAATAACACAATGAAAAAAAATTTTTTCTAATATAATGACATTTTGAATGTCTTAATTTCATTATTGTGTGTTATATTAATGTTGGAATTAAGTGAAACTTACTCAACGGAGTTGTAACAGTAACTTCCTGCAGCTTCTTCAGCACTTGATGCAACCAATTGACAAACAGATTAGTGTTGTCACCAAGGAAAAGTTGTAAATCATCCTCCATTTGGGTCCGAGTTCGCTTGTTCGCCACCATAACCATGACATAATCTGGTAGTTCATCATCTGTAATGGAAAGTTGTGTTTTTTGATCTCATTTATTTTAATATTATATAAAATAATATAAAAATTTTACATATGAATAATTTAGGGATACCCAAGACAGCCATAGTTTCAAATCATGGCTACAGAGATTCTTTGTAATAAACCATGGAATATGAAATATTACAGAAGTAATAACTATAATTATAAAGAAAAGTTTACTACAAAAAAATCCATGCGGACCAAGCAGCGGACGGGACTTCTAGTAAACTTTTCTTTAGATTTAAACATCTAGCAGTTAAATGCTTAAAAATAAATAAAAACAAAACTTTAATTATATTTGAAGACTCCAGCAAAATTCAAAATATGTCTATTATATAAAATATAATAGCAATACTCAATAGAAGCTAAAATATGTATATGGATTGAAGAATGCTGATGGCTCCAACCTTCTTATTTATACCAGATACTTCACAGGATTAGTTAATTCCCAATTAATAATTATGTAATATAGAAAAGATAATTCAATAAAACCTTTTTTTGTCATAGCCAATATTAAACACATATCAGACACTATTTCATGTATATTAAAGATACAAAAACAATCTCAGTAAAATGTTCACCAAATACTAATCCTCTAAAAATACTTTATAAGATAATTCACAGAATACCATGAATTATATATATATATCTGTTGAATTTACGCTATGACAAAATAAGTTTTATTAAATTATCTTTACTCTGAGTTGCATAAATTTAGCATAATTATTCAAAACATTCTTGTTAGGACATTATGAATTAGAACATTAATGAAATAGCAGGAGAGGGACTTACCAACATAACATCCAAGTTCAGTCAGCTTGGCCTTTATTGCTGACTATAAAAATAAAATACAATTATTTTTATTTGTAGTTTACATTTATAATTTAAGCCTCAGCCCTTGATCAGGGGGCCAATCGCCTAACTGGATTGCTTTGGAAAACGCTATCGCTTACGATTTCATTTTGTTATTTCTAGCCCCCTGAGGTTTTCAAATGACTCGCGCTCTTTTTTTTTCTTTTGCATTGGTAATAACAATGTTAAAGAAAATGAGCGTGAGGTATTTCGGCGGTTAGAAATAACAAAATGAAATCGTAAGCGATAGCGTTTTCCAAAGCAATCCAGTTAGGCGATTGGCCCCCTGGGGACATCAGATTGCTTTGGCTATTGCTATAGCTTATGATTTCATTTTGTTATTTTTAACCACCAAAGGTTTCTAATTTTCTTTAATATTGTTATTGTTGTCGGCGATCAGAAAACACCAAAACAATCCTGATACTCAGTGAGTCCCCTGATCAAGGGCTGATGCTTAAATTATAAAACAAGACTGGCTGTAAATAAGTTAATTTTATTTTAGCTTGATAACAGTTTTACACATTTAGGTTTTTTAAAAGATATTGCTGCTTGGTGCCAAAATGAGATGCTCCTTTTGCTCTACCCGAGGGCTGGCGCTGACTTACACTATGCATCTTGTAGAATACAAAACTGAGTTACATTATTAATTTTTTGAATGATTATTAGTGTACCAGTTTTGTATAATAGTAATCAATATATTAGAAAATTATTAGACAGTATTGTAAGTAAACCAAATGATATAGGTATAACTTATAGGTATACTTTTTGTGAATTAATCTCTACAATTTGCCCCATGATACTAAAAGTTACAGCAGTCTTTTAATTTAAACTTTACAGTTAACCTATTAATCTAGCTTTCCTTAGTATTTATAATAAAATGAATGAGATTTTTAATCAGTAAAGTTTGTAGTCATCACTTGTATCTATCTTTTCATTGTCACTTTTCTTGATAATAAAATTTCAACAGAGTTGTATTAAATCTATAAGCTCCCTAAAGAAATCTAAAACGACATCTAATTAGAGTTTAAATACTATAAAACAGAGAAATATCAGAATCTAAATTAGTAAACATTACAAGTAGATACCTATGTAATTTGATACTTATTTCATAAAATATTTTCAAAACTTCAATAATAAGACATTATATTAAAGAAAGGGTTAAAATAAATAAAAAAATGACAATATTTACCCTCATCTTCTGTCCAATTTCACTACCAACGACATCCATTTTCAAGTGTTTCACTGAACGCGCTCAACACAGAACTGACTCAGGTAAGCCGGTGCTAGTTATTATGATAATTAACACCACGTGCAGACAAAGATTTTTACTAATTACATCATTAATACCTTTAGAAAATAGCAATGCAAATAATAGGTAGTACTTAAAACAGAATCTTTTTTCGGTCCTTTTTTGACATTGACAGCGAAGAAAGAAGGCCTGTCTGTCAGTTTAAGTTTTTTTAGGCAAAGAAATTTAAGTCATAAGGTACAATTTTAAAGTAAAAAAGTATGTTTCTTTACTAATGCTTATACGGCTTAAAATCTCTTTTCTATTAAATGAATTGAGATAGTAGGTATCTTTTTTTAAATATACGAATTATAATATTATGAGGTTTTTAAATTAAATAACTACTACCAATATTTATAGTATCCATTGTGTGTTCTCTGTTCGGCATGGTTTTTCATCCGGACATTAGTGTACGTTTTGGACGTTTCCAGTTTCATATTTATGCTGATAGTCAATTGAACTCATAGATAGTTAGATGTAATTGAACTAGAATCACTCAACGTTTAACAACTTAGCGTATAGAAAGTCAGCTCAGCTTATTGATTAGAGAGATGGTTGACCAATAATAGCCTAGTAATAGTTTACATACACTATCGATGGTGCCAAAGCATCTTTATGCTGACCGCTTCCATATACCAGGCAGGCTGGCAATATATTTTTTAATTTGCCATCCTTTTTACATAGTGATCTGGATCAGAAAACAGGACTCGAACTTGGGAACTTTATACAGAAGCAGAAGCTGTAACGCTACTAACGTACAACCTATTTCAAACCAAACGCGCAGAAACACAAAAACGCTTGAATCGTGGATGGATTTAAACTGTGTATTAGATTGTACTTAGGTATCTTTAAAACATTACTACCTAACTTATTAAAGGCAGGAACTTTAGATATTTTTTACAAAACTAATTACTCAGGTAGGTAGGTAAAATCATAATTGCTTACACGTCTCTAATGTGTGAAACGTTTGTATGTAATCTGCAGCACAGTATAATATTATTACCGTGTCAGCGGTCAGTTATTAGAAGTCATACCAAAAAAGAATTAAGTAAATAATACTAATTAGACTATAATTTGACGACATTAATAAAGGTCGTTAGCAAAATTTTGTTTTTTGTGCTCTCCATGATGGCGCGCTGCCCAGGTCACGTGCCGGGACCCCACCCTCGTTAGTACCCCTTTGGCAGCTAAACAATGATTTCACGTGGTATTTTTAAATAGAAATTATGGGGTGAGCTGTGAGTTACAATTTAAAATTTGTGTCGATTCCATTCATGTTTCTATTCTGACATGTTTCTCTAAATTTTACAACAGTGTATCCCTGTCATTCTCTACAGAATGAGAAGGAGAGACTGATGTTTGATTTAGTTTTAAGTTTAGATAACCCTGCCAGAATCGATACCAATACTTGTATTAAATCATAGTGTGTGTATCGGCATCGGCAATGAATCGCATTGTTGGAACGCGCAACTGCTGAGAACATTTGATATCACAATACAATATCATGCATATTAGAGAATTCGCAAGCTAAATAGGTATGTACCTACCCAAAAGAGTAAGAGCAAGCACACATTGAGCCACTAGTGGCAACCACTACACACGTCCACAAGCTGAGGTCGAGTTTTTTCATTCATTTTGTATAGTATCGGACCATCGGCATCGGCGCAAACTACGCGTTCAAGTGGCCGCCACTCAGCCACTAATGGCCGTTGTTGACTCGTGTTTCCATAATCAAATTCAAGTAAGCGATAGGCCTACTGGAGCTTTGTTGCTAAGAATGGAACCAGATTTTCTTTACTACTAGCGGTTGATTATTGAAACTGGCCGTAAGCCTCTAGCGGCGGCAATCGGTGGCTGCGTCAGTGGCCGCCACTAGTGTCTCAATGTGCGCCAGCACTAAAGATGCCAACGCGCCAGACCTACGTTATTTTATAAACCTCAAAGTTTATCATAGATACCATAGGTCATTAGAGTAGGTAATAACAAAGTGTTACTAAAAAGTTTGGATCTTGGTGAATCTGGCAGGCAACAGGACGATTATTTTTTACGAAATATCACTACAATTCATAGCCAGTCACTTTGGATGGTTCCTTCCTCCTGCCAAAGCCAATGATCTGTCATTCGACTTTGTTGCGGGGAAGCACTCAAGTTCGTGTCCAGCTCACTATCAAATAAAAAATCTCTATCCTCAACTATTTTATGTATTCTGTGGTAGATAACGTAATATTTTAAGAACCTCGTATAACGATGCCATCAGTTCGCAAATCTATGCCGGAAGACCCTGTTAAGACTGATTTGAGAACATACCTACATTGAGAATGTCATACAGTTCAAGCATAGGTAAGTATAATATTTTCTAATGTTGGTTAAAATGCTTAGCAGAGTAATAGCCCTCGACACATGTCGAGTTTAGGTCTCATACGGATTTCCTCATTTCTGTTTTATAGCACACAGAAATAATACCGTATATTAATGAAGTGATACTAACCGAATATAGCTCTCTCCTTTGCTCATCCCTCTATGAGACCCTTGGTTACTACTGTAACGAAGTATAATACCCCAAGCACGAAGAAGTCGAACAACTAGCAAGAAAGAATTAGTACCTATCGGCATGTCAATGTTTCTATAAAAAAACCCAGTTTGTTCTTACTTCCGGTAGGGGCGCTGCTTATTTTCCATAGAAACTTGGACGTTGGCGATATGAATACGGATTTGTCAAAGTTCGTGTTTGGGGTACAGTACCCCTAGCACGAACCATTATCGAATTCGAATAGTTTGCAAAACGCAATGTCAATGTCAAGTTTTGTATGGAAACTTGAACAGAAGCGCCACAAAAGTCAGTAGTCAGTACACATTTGACAATGACATTTCAGACTCGCAATTCAGACAAAACAAATTCGATATTGGTTCGCGCTAAGGATACATTTTTTATTGCTGGGACACAGGTTCCATGATGGAATACGGAGTCTCCGATTCTTATACCTAATCAAAATAGGTATACTTACCCCAACATTTTTTATGTTGAATCATATCGAGCTGTTGGAGAATTTTGTAAATTTTTAATAAGGTACATGATCTGATTACCTAACATGAAAGCCTAATAATACCTACTTAATTACTCTTTCCTTTCATTAGTTGTCCAAACGAGTGTAAGAGATAATGACAAAAACTTCAAATAAGTAGGTAGGTACACCAGCTAATGATTAACAGTCCTACTGTTTTTTAATCTTTTGTGCCGATCGAGTACCCACAAACAAAAGATAATTACGGGAACATTTAAAGTTCCCGATCCCCGGATACTGGCGTTAAGTGTAATAAATAAGCAAACAATCTATAAAGCAATTTATAATCTGTCCGTTTCTTAGGAATAAACAGGCATTGTTTTATGTGATACCCCAAAGAAGATAAAAATAATAATAATTCAGCGTGGTTTTTTTTTGGTTGCGCGATAACGACGGGCCATCTCGCGCTGCCTAAGTAATAACTCAGATAACAGAATCTGAATGTGCTTAGTAATACTTTCGTCTTAATGGACACAAAATCTCGCGATTTTAAACATAATACAACGTAGTAGGAACCGTTTATTGATATGAACGATTGAGAGCTCGGATAGATAAGTATCATGTAAACCGCGATGGTTTTTGACGTAACAACGTCTTAAATTAGGTTGCGGCTGGGAGTCACTTATGAAAAAGTGTAACGCTCGGTAACGTTACGATGAGTCTCTCGTGTTAAGTTTAAGTTTACATGTACAATGTTTTAGTAAACAAAATATATTTCTATAGTTAAAATTTGTGCAATTCTTATTTTCATTCAATTCCTTGTTCCTATTGTGCAATTTAATTATATTCATATCAATAAATATTCTACCGAGAAAAAGACGTTGTCACGTAAAATCTTCGCCCGTAAAACCGACTTTACAGGCAACCATTTTTAAGTTGGATCAGCTTCTTTACCAAAATTTTAACCTCTTTTTACGTTTTGTGGTATCAAACTACTTACCTTTCGATTAGAAGAGGTAAGGCATTGTGGATTTCCGAACATCCAACAGACCGAGTAGAGATCACAGTAAAATAAAACTACTTATAGGTGGTGTTGTAGGTACTTCTGTCTTTTTTATGCTAAAAGAATGAACAAACATAAATGGCCTGCCTGATGGTAAGTGGGCATCATAGCATACAGACGCTTGCGACCAAGCTATTAGTGTCGCCGCATACAGGCCACCGACCACATACATTTTTCATACATTTTATATGGACTCGCCACACACGGTACGCCAGTGGTCGCCACACGCTACAAATCGTCGTTGCTCGCTTCTTGTGGCCCGCACCGGCCACTTAATGCGCCGATACAAAACGCCGCGCCGCCACACGTCACTGTCGCGCGCTTCAGCCACTTTAGTAGCAGCTTCTAGCTTCTCGTGGCGGCGTTTGTGGCTGTGGCGTATAGCCCGTGTGCGGCGACACTTACTCGATCCGTTGCCTACCCTGACCAAATCCCCTACCCCGCACCACGTATATGATGGATGATGGTGTGAGAGTGAGAAACTCGCGAATGATACTTTTGTATCAAGAGCATCTATAAGTTATCGATTATAACCAGACTATAATGGCAAATAAAAAGAACTATAAATTTTGCTGGACCTTTGGAAAGGTATATGTTGGAGAGCATCAACACTCTCCGATTATAATGATAAAGAGTGAAAGTCAAGTGCTCGAATTCCTAATTAGCCTGCACCAGGAACAGCAAGCAATTTGACGATTTGTGGCACTCGTATTTACCCCATGTACTTTGGCGTGTCTCAATTTCGCCCGAGTGAATAATGTTTTTGTTAGTCTAGTAATTTAGTCTTATTATGTATGCCATATTTTTGTATTCTGTAAAAAAACGTTTGAACTTTATCACCACTTAACATCAGGTGGGGTAGAGTCATTTGCCTACCTGGCTATATAAAAAACGAGTGTGCTTATGACCACACGACTGAAGTGAAATTACATTCATATAATAGAGGATACTAATAAGTATACCACTAAGAAAGTACTACACTTGATAAAAGTGTCCCTAATGAGCCGCATTCTTGTGACAATGTTCTTACTTTCTATCAATGATATAAATGGTTGACTCTACTCAATTTAAACGTGATAGACGGTATTAAAATTACTCGAAATAATAATAAATAATTTAGTAAGAGCGACCTTACAATCGTCTCTCAAAATATACGCAGTATTTATTGTAACTTTGGTGATTTTTTTGATATGCGCCAGAAAAACCAGAATGACGGTGTTGTTGTTTACATTAAAAAATCATTTATTTCAGCCTAAGATTAAGAGCCCTTTAACATTTTTTGCAAAAAATCGTAATTTTTGAGCGCCTCGTTTACCCCTTTAGAAATGATTTTGACTATTTCCAATAGAAGTAAACCGTTGATTAATTCTTTCTTTTGTAAGTTAATGTAGAATATTTGCAAATAAAGGTATTAAAATTAAATCACTATGGAATCAAAGGCGCAGCCCAAAAATTGCTACTATCGTATCTCAGTTACAGAGTTCAAACTGCAGAGGTAAGTGGTGCTAAGTCACCTGGATCTTATATGAAAATTGGCGTTCCCCAGGGATCGATTTTAGGTCCGTTTCTATTTTTATTGTACATAAATGATTTTTACTATTTTCTGTGGAAAAAATGTGTGAGATCGTATTGTTTGCTGTTGATGCCTCTTTATTATTTAATGTTGACAGATACAAGAATAACTTGGTGATATAAATAATATTCTCTCACAAGTATTGCACTGCTTTAATGTAAATAACTTAAAATTAAATGCAAATAAAACTAAATGCATTAAATTCACTTTCCCTTATGTTAGAAACGAAACCGTTACAATTAAATTAAACAATGAAAACCTAGATTAAGTTCAATCAGGTATAACCATAAAATCAAAATTGCAATGGTATCCGCATCAGCAGTCTATGCCATACGTAAAATAAGACAACATACTGATGTACTTTACTGTACTGTATACTTTAGGAACTTTCATAGTATTGTATCCTATGGTATTATTCTCTGGGGAGCAGCAGCCGATATTGAAACTGTATATAACTTGCAAAAAATGCTGAGCCGAGTAAATCTTTTTTTTGTAGTAACTATTTTCCTTACATTTATGATCAATAACAAAAGAAATTACTTAAGTGAGCACTTACGTATATTTTTAATTAAAAAAAATAATTTCAGTGTTAACTCATTTATTTTCATCCAACAATAAATACTTTATTCACACAAATAAAATATCTACCTACTACTTACCTACTTTCTTACTTTTAAAATATTCTTTTTGAAATAATTTGACAACAAAACATTATTTTAAGACATCTATCTATACAATATTATGGCATTTCAAATAAATTTTACTTTATTAAAATACTGTAATTTTTTATGAAGTAAATTCAAATATCAACTGAATATTGTACCTAGTACTTATATTACAAAATATCAATTCATTTATTTTCATAACAATAATTGACTGTGGACTAAATAAATCAACTTGCATTATGTCATGATACAAATGCGATTATTAAAGCAAGAAAGGGATAGCACTATCTTTAAAGTGCATTTCATTATTCATTGCTTTGGTATCGTAATGACTGTCATAGACGTTCAAGTAACTTTGATCAAACGGGCTGTTTCAAACAGTTTCATGCCAATTGACAACTCATTCTGATGAAACTGTACTTGATGAAATGAAATCAATATGTAGGTACGTATCGATCAAATTACTTGAACTTCTATGGCGGTCATAAGAGTCGATAGGGTGATAATGTCCAAGAAAAAATTCAAGAGATGGATCCGTGCGAAGTAAAGAAGTAATTATAGAAAACATTTAAAGGAAAACAAACTTGAAGGAAGCATTTAACACGAAGCGATAAGAGAGATGTTCGCTTAATAGGCATCAATAGATTGAACGGCTTTTCTTAGCATTATCGCCTAATTGTATTTAAGGCTGTACCAAATTATAGGATAAAATACATAGGTAAAATTACATAACAATAATTTGGTCCTACCTACTAAGACAAAAACACGAAACAGCCTGCATAAATTAAAATTGTAATCTTTGGTCAACATATTAGAATAAACTTAATACTATTTTGGAATGTGTATCACTATAAAATAAATATATTTTTTACACTCTTAAGTAGTAATCAGTATCTTTGTCAGACTATCGGTAATGGAATGAATTTAACATTTTATTTATTTCGTATAAAAACCATTCTTTTGGCAGACAACATACTTAGATAATATTTCTCAGAACAGGTAAAAATTAAGATCTTTACTTAATCAATAAAACTACATTAATATAGTATACTTGTCGCTCATTAATAGGACGGATTATAGAACGTGTCAATTTAATAAAATTAATAATTAAAACTAATATTGAAATTCGTCGTTGTACAGTGAAAACCCACTAAATAGAAATGAGTTATTAATATGAATTGACTCAGTTTTTTGTCTGCGAAAATAAGTTAATGTTTTCCATTAATCCATTATTGTGACATTAATTTCTGTACACAATGGATTCATGGATACGTATATTATCACATAAAAAAACTGAGTCAATTTGTATTATCAACTAATTTTCATTTAAGTACTGGGATTCCATTGTAAGTACAACGACGAATTATAGCTCTTCATCTCGAACACACTAATTTATATTATTATAGTTTACAGTGGCTCAGAATTATATTAAAACATTGGGTTTTACTATTGTTCTCCGTTAATGTAATGTTAGTTTAGCAACTCTTTTGAGACTACCACAGTTAAGGCTAAAACTACATTAAGCGGAGCTCCGCGCGGTTTCATACTAAAATTGCCCGCTCGGGTCTCCGTGGTTAGTAGTAATTTTTGTATGATCATCGATTAAACGTGCGCAAAATGAAAGCAGCCTTTTTTACCCCTGATGCCGTTATAGTAAACAAACCATTAATGAGATTTGAGTATATAACTTATCACAATAAAGCTTCAACGTATTGCTCAAATACTTATTTGGTATCGTACTGGAAATGCTAAATCTTTGGTTCGTCTTAGTAACAAGCGACAAGTCACTAATTGTTAGTTTGCTCATCGATCCTCACGTCACAGCTGTCTTTAAACCTGATTCTGGGGCCGATGCTGTTCTGAGAACTGGTTTTCCCTATGCTCCTCAACGATCCGGTCTTCCCGGCTACGTTTTGGAGGGAGCCGCTCGCATTTGGAGCTATAATACTCCTGGATGAACCGAAAGCTTTGATTTCCCGCGTCGATTGGCTTTTGTTTCTCGCTGGGCGCCTAGGCTCGTGCGTGAATGGCGATCCTCTCGGCTTTGGTAATGCTGATGTTGATTTGGAATCGGCATTTTTCGTAAGTAAGTCTCGCGGCGGTTTTGCGTCTTTATGTGTGTTCCGTGAGGAGTGTGAGTTGGGAGTGAGCGTAGTTTCTGTAGATTTAGTCGGCAGCGTTGGGGATGAGTTCGGTGCAGCTTTGCTCGGTGTCTCTCTGAGGTCGTGGCTGAGGTCTACCTGGCCCCCCCGGGCCCGGCCCGCGGGTCTGCTCGCGACTCGCCCAGTGACACTTGGCTGAGTGCCGTTCGCGTGTTGCTGTAGCTGTACCCGTGACGCTCGTTCCATTTCTCTAAAAAGAATGGGGAACTAGTTAATTCATACTTATAGAAGATTACTGGCCCTTCCTCGTTCGCTTAGGCGTACACTATAGTTTTTGTTATAGTAAACAGGTAGCCTATGAGAATCACAAATAACGTGGCTACTTTTGGTAAAAGAAGTTTCAAAATCGGTTCAGTAAATTGTTAAATATGTTCATTTATTCATTTTACAAGCACTCATGAATGTCTAGAAGCTACGCCATCAGTTCGCAAATGTACGATGGGAGTTACTGTACTGAGAAGAACCGGCAAGAAACTCAGCAAGGGCTGTTTTTTTTCTCAGAAATTGATTTGAATCTGATTTGATTCAGAGATTACACCCTACAACCTCACAAACGTCTTTATAATATAAGTACAGCATAATCTATATCTACATATAGATTATTCAATTAAGTTTTTTGCGCTGATAGGTGGTAAAAATGTGTAATGGTAATAAAAAAAAAACATAATTACAGCTTAGCGTGTTGAACTCGCCAGTTATATAACTCATTAGGTTGTAATTATTATAATTATGGTGTTAGTTGTTATAATAGAATTCAATATAAACTATTGTTTTGTGACAAAATAAACATGTCGACAGTACATGTACACTAATGGATAGTGCTAATGCTTATAATATGGCTTCATTAAGATGGCTAGATGAGACAATGAAAGTACTATTTTCACCGATTCGCAATAAGCCCGCATGGTCGATTTTGGTCCAATATCTCTATTATTACGTCCAGAGGAGGATATTAATAGGTTAATAAATATTTATCTCATGATGAAAAAGATATAACGGTGTGAAGGTATGAATGTAACTAAAAATTTATAATTAAAAAGAATAACATTTACATATATTGAGAACTGTCTAAGAAATAGGAGCATTGTATATTCATATTAAGCTTCGTCGGAGGCAGGTAAGTACGCTCTCAATAATTCTGTGAGAATTCAGTTTGTAAGCGATTAATTATTATGGAAATTTAAATTCGCTAGCTAACAGTAAAAAGCAATTGCCGAATTTCCAATATTTCGAGTAGAAATTCTTAATATTTTGTCTATGAATCAGTTGAAAGGAAACGTGCGAACAGAAAAGGTGTAAGAACAAGGAAAACGCTTTCCTTATCCCACAAGGGTACTCGTCTTGGCTCAACCTTTACTCTTGCCTTTGTTATAATACTTACAGAAATTAAGTGGTAGTTATATAAATTGGATATTCTGGCTCATATTTATGTAAACTAAGTATTGAAATTAGGTACCATATACCTTAATTTTAAGTATACATTGGTGTAAATTCCGGCATTATTCTTTTAACCTAAACTAAAATTTGATAACAGTGTATCTTTGTCATTAGATATGCCACCACCCGCCTGTTATAAACACAAGCACTGACATCACCGCACTAGGGAGTACTTTCACGGACGCACTTATTTGCACAGCGCGGAGGGTCGCCGGTTATATGCACCCTGGTGAGCCCCGGCAGCCAGCACTATCCATTTTGTATATCTACCCTGCACCCGTCTGACATAAACACAAGCACCGCCACCACCGCAGTAGGGAGTATCTTCACGGGCGCACGTATTTGCACAGCGCGGAGGGTCGCCGGGTATACGCACCCTGGTGAGCCCTGGCAGCTTACACTATCCATTCTGTATGTCTACCCTGTACCCGTCTGACATAAATACAATCACCGTTACCATGAGCGCAGTAGGGAGTACCTTCACAGGCGCACGTATGTGGGCATCGCGGAGGGGCGCGGGGTGTACGCACCGCTGGTGAGCCCCGGCAGCCCGCAATATCTATTCTGTATGTCTACCTTCCATCCGTCTGACATAAAAAGAAGCACCGCTACCACCGCAGTAGGGAGTACCTTTACGGGCGCACGTATGTGGTCAGCGCGGAGGATCGCGACGTATACTCACCGCTGGCGAGCCCCGGCAGCCGAGCCAGCCCATACTATCAATTATTTATGTCTACCCTCCACCCACCTGCCATAAACACAAGCACCGCCACCACCGTAGTAGGGAGTACCTTCACGGGCGCACGTATTTGCACAGCGCGGAGGGTCACCGGGTATACGCACCCTGGTGAGCCCTGGCAGCTTGCACTATCCATTCTGTATGTCTACCCTGTAACCGTCTGACATAAACTCAATCACCGCTACTATCAGCGCAGTAGGGAGTACCTTCACTAGCGCACGTATGTGGGCATCGCGGAGGGGCGCGGGGTATACGCACCGCTGGTGAGCCCCGGCAGCCCGCAATATCCATTCTGTATGTCTACCCTCCATCCGTCTGACATAAAAAGAAGCACCTCTACCACCGCAGTAGGGAGTACTTTTACGGGTGCACATATGTGGGCAGCGCCGAGGATTGCCGGGTATACGCACCCTGATGAGCCATGGCTGCTCGCACTATCCCTTCTGTATGTCTACCCTGCACCCGTCTGACATAAACACAAGCACCGCCACCACCGCAGTAGGGAGTATCTTCACGGGCGCACGTATTTGCACAGCGCGGAGGGTCGCCGGGTATACGCACCCTGGTGAGCCCTGGCAGCTTACACTATCCATTCTGTATGTCTACCCTGTACCCGTCTGACATAAATACAATCACCGTTACTATGAGCGCAGTAGGGAGTACCTTCACAGGCGCACGTATGTGGGCATCGCGGAGGGGCGCGGGGTGTACGCACCACTGGTGAGCCCCGGCAGCCCGCAATATCTATTCTGTATGTCTACCCTGCACCCGTCTGACATAAACACAAGCACCGCCACCACCGCAGTAGGGAGTACCTTCACGGGCGCACGTATGTGGGCTGCGCGGAGGGTCGAGCGAGCGGCGGGGTATACGCACCGCTGGTGAGCCCCGGCAGCCGCGCCAGGGGGCAGCACAGTGCCGCCGCGTACGCTGCGCGGTACTGCGCGTTCATTATCACGTAGATGATCGGGTTCACGCAGGCGCTCGCGTATAGCAGCAGGTAGCCCGCGATGTGGAACACTGGAATATTCAATTTACGCTTAGTGATAGAAAGTAGAGTTGTGGTTAGTGCGTTTTGTTTGCGTAGGAAAGTTGCCAGAAAATCTCACGCTCCTCCGTGCTTCGGAAGGTACGGAAGTCATTGGTACTGGCTGCATTTGCAGTAGTTAGCACCCTTCGAACCACCCTGGACTTGCGTGGGTCATGATGACCCAATCCCTAACCCATTCATAAGGAAAGTGGAAGTCTAGTGCCCTAGCACATGATAGAACAACAGAAAACATAACACATTTAGCACAATAAGTCGAGTATCTGTATTATAATGGGGCTTACCAGGATAATGTACGTGGCTATCGGCGACCTTCGCGATCGTTATGGGCAAGTAGCACACGAGGAAGGACAGAAAGATCGCCAGCACCATCTTAGTGATCCTCCACTCGTTGCGTCTGGCCTTCGTCTCTCTGTTATCTTTTATCGTAGACCGCTTGTCGGAGCTATTGTTCAGCGAGCCGGGACTGTGCTGAGATCTTTGGTGTTCACGCATTCGTTGTTCTGAGCTGGAATACAAAAGTTGAATTGTTTGATTTTCTTGGACAGTCTACAGACTAAATAGTTGCATAAACTGGAGTAACTACCTGTGTCTTATTGTAACTATGAATATATACAAAATCTCCACGTCACTAGTAAGGCGTCATAGATTATTTTTCTATGATACTGCTGCTAGCTGCCGGCAAAAAGAATCACCGCAGTACTTATATGAGGAGTTCAATTAGCAGGGGTTAACGTGTTCTATTTGCGATGATGTATGTAAAAGCCAATGACTGGCAGGCAACTGATGGGTTAACAAAAATATGGGTACCTCAAAGATCTCTTGGGCTTAGGAAGGCACGTTAAGTTGGTTATCCCAATATAACTGAAGTGATGAGCAACCACCTAGTTTAAGCTCATCTGGTAGTTTATAACATAGTTTATATATTCTTAACTATAGCCCACTCTTTCTTTGTTTTGTGGTAGTGCCCTATGGTAAGAGACAAGAGTGTGACATAAAATAAAGTGTCTCAATAGTCGAGAAAAGAATATGTTTATAGGGATGATAGATGTATCTTTGTCATAGTATAATCTTAAGGACGTACCTATGGACGACCCAGAATATCCTGGCGTAGCATATGAAGATGAGCATGGCTGGCACTATGAAGGCGATTATGAAGAGAGCTGTCTTCGAAGATCTACCGTTAGCGTCAGGCAGTATGGAGCACGTGCCCAGTTCTGGGTCGTAGTCAAACTTGCCTGGAAGCAATTAACGGATTATTGTAGCTATATATTTTAAAGTTATTTTGAAGGCAAGACATTTTAAATTTACTTTTAAGAAGAGATGAAGGCTGCACTCTACACACACAGGCTTTAATTCATGAAGTCACATATGTATTGTCATCTGGCGAAGGGCGCCGGCCATAACTCTGTCCGTTTAGCAAGAATCAATATCGATTTTAAATAGTTGACTTCTCACGTTACAGAACAGAAGGTAGATAGAACGCACGATACACGCAAGTAAGGATACCAAAGCAAATACGAAGTCGAAAATATTTCGTTGAACAAGGCGGCACAGTTTTAATAAAAAACTTAATAGGTATTCACGGGACGTATTCAAAACACGATGCGTTGTAATGTACTGACGTGAGTTGATATTCGGTTTCGACTTGATATTTGCTTTGGTGTCGGCACGTAATCTGTGTACCGTGCGCTCCATCTGCCTTTAGTTCTATAATTTGAGGTTGAAATTAATCTCGGTCAAGAAGTTTTGTGTGGAAGTTTGAACCGTTCCACAACGGACATAACGAGAATTGAAAAGCTTCCATAAAATTTCTTAAAATGGACTTGTATCGACATCGTATTCAACTATTCGAATTCGATATTGGTCCGTGTTATGGATATTGATTAGAGTTTTTAAGCGTCGTTGAGTTTGATAAGTTTTATCACAGCTGATGTCCTTACTACAGATATGGTAACTGGTAAGTACTAAAATGCTGAACTATTCATATCAATTGTATAGCTTAAGAAAAGTTGACTATTTTTTGTGATGGCAAACTTACCCCAAACGCCGATGAGGGTCGGTGTCTGCATTCCATACGAGAAGAGCCACGAGAACACGATCATGAGGGCGATGTTGTGCCGCCGGTACACGCGTCCGTACCAACTGTGGTGCGCGATCATTATGTACCTGGTATGGAATATACATCATCATTATTCAATTCAATTCAACGTTCATATGCTGGGACCACATAAATGGGACACAGGCTTTTCCTATGGATGGAATAAGGAAAATGAAGCAACCAACCAGCAGATTGGTGAATGCCAATGACTGCCAATAAACATTAAGCCGCCAAAACGTTGGCCGAGCTTAACCCAACGCGAGCGTGTACAAACTGATATAAGGTAAGTGCTACCGTCTAGACGATGAGCATCTTTGAAGAAGATCAATGCAAGTGTAGACGTGTTTTGAAACTACCCGTATGTTGGTACGCTATCAGTTCAGTATCAGCGACAGCGATTGCCGACAAGCGACGCCAATAAGGTCTATATGCGTTGGCGCCTCCCTTTATTCGGCAAATTAGGCAAGCGACATCGAGCGATAACAAGGCATGACAAATAATGCTGTCTATACGTTGGTATAATAAAGTCATAGGAGGCAAATGTCTTCGCTTGGCCAACTGTTATATGGGACTTTAAGAAGAAACCTATTATTGTTCCCACTGCTGGGGCAAAGGCCTTCCCTATGGATGGAATAGGGAGAACGGACCGAAATCAACAACGTGAATTTGGTGCAGATTGTATGCCAAAGACTGCAGATTAACGTGCCATTTGAAGTACGGAGGAGCACGAGTTAATATAATAAATTGGAATTAAATTAATTAAATATAATATTTTTTTACTAGAATACATTCCATGCCATCCATGTATATGACAGGATCCTAGAACGCGTGGAATTTTTTCTTGTATTTTTTTTCTTCAGATTTATAAATCAAGCAGATCAATGCTTAAAATTAAAATATTATTGACAAAAACAGTATTTTTTCTATACTTTTATAATGTAGGGGTTCGTTGTAAACTTACCTATATAGGTATATTAGAATAAAAGTAAAAATCAAATCTGGAAGACTAGATTTGGTTTGCAAATGTTCATTTGATTCCTAAACACTTTTAATGTCAATAATAATTAACGTTGGAAAACATTGCCTACATCATTTTCCAATTTTCTCCTATTTCTGTAAGTAGAATTTAATAAGATATTATTTCAGAAAGGGCGATTGGAAATCTCAGATTCATCGATATTTGATTCTAGTGGCTCAAAAACATAAGAGAAATGAAATTATTTATTCGCTGTAAGCAATTTCCCCTAAACGATGGAGTATCTAGAATTTAAATAACTTAGCTGGCATTGAGTTCTGTGATATCAAATAATGTCTCTTATTAATTCTAGGAAAAGGCACAATATTGAGTAATGATTGAGTACTGCAATACGAGTTTCAAAATCTATTTTATCATCACGGATTGCGTAAAGCGTACTTTATTTTCCTTAATATTAATTATTGGAACTAGCGCGATCTTTATTATTTTAAAATGTGGAATTTAGAATATAATATAAAGAGTCGTTAAAGTTATTGTCGTCATACCGAGTTGTGGTTGATTTATGAATTTATTAATTAAATAAATATCATTGTGCGAACTAGAAACGGATTTCATTATATAAGGTTCATATTAATAATTTCTTTATTTATATGAGAAGTTATAATTATAAAAAAAAAATCAGTTAAATGAACCTCTATGTATTATGAATGTTTGTATCCTCACCTTGTCGGCCTGCAAAAATACTTCTTCACGCCTCTCTTAAAGGACCCCAGATTATAGGAAGAGGGAACACGTGCGCGGGTAAAGAATTCCACTTACGACATTGTACGAGTATAGAATACGACAAAGAAATGAGTCACCAAATTTCTTTGTTCGTGTAGGAATAGTGGTTCCAGTAAGTCGGTGGCAAAGTAGGCCAGCGCGCGTGATCCTCTGAAGAAAAGATGATGGAGGGATAAGCGAGAATAGCTTCTTAAAACACTCGCCGTGGTATAGTCGGTAGAATGCGCTTAATGATGCCACATCACGGCGTAATTGTAGAGACTCGAGTTTCTTAGTTACCTTCTTCATCGCCAATGATGCAGGCAGCGCGCCGCTGCAACCTATCCAAAGCATCAAGCAATATTCCACGCAGGACCGCACTTGCGTTTTGTACAACAAGCACAGTTCGGGCGTGAAAAAACGCCGCACCGTGTTCAGGACTCCGAGTTTGCGTGAAGCTGTTTTTAAAAGAGGCGTGAAGGAGCAACTAGCAGGCCGCAAGGTGATGATGACATGTGTCCCAGCTATCTTTTTATCTAGACTCCACCGCCACTTAAAACCAGATGGGTAGGAGTCATTTCTTCGCACTTATTTATCTTTATATAGTATAAAATAAAGTAGCACAGTCTGTACGCGTATTTTTTAAACTACACATCTGTATTTTTTCCAGTTTTCAGCGATGGATAGAGCTATTCAAGAGGAAGGTTTACATGTACAATACATACCCGAAAACAGAAACTTTCATCTTCACCGAAGCGAAGTGAGGGCGGGTCACAAGTGTAACAAAAAAGGTTTCAATATCACATACCGGTTTAGCGTAATTAGAGCGTTGCTAAGCAGTGATATGCACACATTCCCGTACCTCAAGAACGGCACCAGCTGAGACAGCGCGCCCCTTTGGGACCAGGTTCTTGTCCAGAAGCCGGATATGGCGGACGGGACCGCTTCACTAAGCTCTTCCATATAAATAAACATAAGGAGTAGAATGAAAACACAAGGTTTCAATCACACACCTGTTCAGCGTAATTAGATCGATGCTCAGCAATGATACGCCCACGTTACCGTACCGCAAGATCGGCACTAGCTGACATAGTGCGCCCCCATGGGAATAGGCCCTCATCCAGAAGCCAGATATGGCGAACAGAAACACTTCGCTTCACTAACTCCCCATACATAAAGAGTAGAACGTAAACACAAGGTTTCAATCCCACATACCGGTTCAGCGTAATTAGAGCGATGCTCAGCAGTGACACGCCTACATTCCCGTACCGCAAGAACGGCACCAGCTGACATAAAGCGCCCCCGTGGGACCAGGTCCGTGTCCAAAAGCCGGATATGGCGAATGGAAGCACCATGGCGCAGAATAAGAAGTCCGCGATGCACAAACTGTGAATAAATTACACCGTTAATAACTGGACGAGACGTGACGTGTTAATTGACAGTTATAAAAGCACTTGATAGCGCGGTGTGGTGGTTAAACAAAAATTAAATGATGATGACATAAAATGATAGTTTATTTAAAGTAAAGTTGTTATAAATAATTAGAATGCCACAGACTGATATTTACGTTAAACCGCCCAGTAAAAGTAAAAGATAAATTTACAGAAAAAAGTAAGTATAAAAAGAGTATTTTATCCCCCTTGTCAGAGAAGAGAGTCGAGATTTATTTGTAGAGATTAATGGAAATTCATTTCCACTTGTCTCTATCCAGAAGGTTCTGCTTATAAACACAAAGTATGTACAATAAATCTTATCTAGATGTAGTTGGTAAGAAACAAATCAAGTAACTTATGTAATAATAAAAACATAATATCATCCATGTTTTCTAGTAATGATTATAATCAAACCATTTTCCTTATGTCAACTATGTAATAACACCTGCCGGCACAATTTAAATAGTCTATTGTTCGAAACGTGTGTAGTAATAGTTGTTATGGTTAAAAATCTACAGTACCTTGAGCACGAACTAATATCGAATTCGTATCGTTTGCGAGTACGAAACGTCATTGTCGAATGTGTACTGATCTTTAGCTCTAGTTACGTACTTTGTGGCGCTGCTGTTCAAGTTTTCATACAAAATTTGACAATGACATTTCGGATTGATAATGATTCGTGCTAGGGGTACTGTACCCTAAGCACGGATAACTAGCGAGAAAGTATTCGTATCGCAAAGTATTCTAGGGAGCTAGTTTGTTCTTACGTAAGTAGGGGCGCTTTTCAGTATCCACAGAAACTTTGACGATAGCGATACGAATACGGATCTGTCAAAGTTTAATTTTTGACAGCTCCGTAACGTATTGCATTGTCAGTTTCTATGAAAGCTAAGCAGCGTTCGTACAAAAACTAGCTATTTCCATACAAAATTTGACAATGACGTTACGTCAGCGACGTCAGAGACGAGCTGTCAAAAACTCTGATTCATAAACCTATACAATTGATCATCTTCACCTATATCCATGTAGAAATATAAAAAAGTTCAATGATAATGATAAAAAACAATTTAATTACCTTATAATGAAGGCTGCGGCCACATTTCTCACTTTAGGACATTTGAGTAGGGCCACCACCGTGAGTAGGTTCCCGAATAGTCCAATGACCATAATGAATCCAGTTATAACAGCCGCGAATGTCAGCAGTGCTGGCGAGAATCTGTTGAAGATGGTAAAACATAAATTATCTTAATTTTTTATTGTGTGTGTATGCTGTTGGTCGCAGATGACCTAGCAGCGTCACCGGGTTTGGGGACGGCAAAATTCTAAGGGGACCTCAAGCTGAGAATTGGCGAGCGCCTCTAGAGGTATTCCAGGCGGATGGCATCTCCCCACGGGGGGAGTCTCCTCTCCGTCTGGAGCCATTAGACCACTCGAAATTGAAGGGATTATCTTAATAATGACCTCAAGGCATTTAAATGTGTCTATTATCCTTAGCAGGGCCGGATTTAGAGGTGTGGAGGTTCTGGGGCAACGAAAGTGTGGGGGCTTTTGTAGGCCCTATCTAACTACTTGTCTTGTAACTAGTAACTTGAATCCGCCCCTGACACTAAGGCTAACAATTCAGCGCGATTTTCACCCTTTCCCGCAGCGGCTGCGGGATCGGAACTTGCGTAGAGTGAGAAAGTGTACATAAAAAATTTCACGGCGCGATTTACGCCAGCTGAGTGAGACGGTTTGCGGTACCAGGGGGTCTACTCTCTTTCTCCGAAACGAACTTTCTATAACGAAGTTTCTAACGAAATTTAATTTACTTAATTTGAACGATAAACTACCAAATTCAAGCTTTCTTTGAGTAGACTTAGAAAATCTACAACTCAATCTATATTCCGGCGATGAATATTATTATAATTAACACCGAAACAGAAACATAGTAAGAAAAGTGCGAAGTTTCGTTTTTCGTTGAATTAAGTTTAATTTTCACCTGTAAGGCATTAGTGTATCTTACCCATGGTAAGCTACCTAACAAGTTCACTTGGCTGGACTCCAGGATTCTGGAGACTTGACCTCAACTCCTGACTCTTGGTTCACCTGGGTGGACTAAGTGGGCTTGTTCTGACCCTTGTTTCACTTGGGTGGACCACGGATAGATTATCATTGAGGAGCTCGATGGCGCAGGTGGCTAGCGCGTTCAGCTGCGATCGTTGTAGTTAAGCAACTTTCGCAGTGGTCGGTCATTGGATGGGTGACCAAAAATTTCTATCTTGAGTTCCTCCGTGCTTCGAAAGGCACGTTAAGCTGTTGGTCCCGGTTGCATCTGCAGTCGTTAGCACCTGCCAATCAGCACTGGGCTCGCGTGGAGGGTCATGGCCCAATCTCCCTATTCCATCCATAGGGAAGGCCTGTGCCCCAGCAGTGGGGACATAAAGAGGCTGATGATGACGCCTATGGTTTGTTTTAACCTTAAAGAAAACACTGGGTAGCTTTAGGCATTAGAGTGGATTTCTTAACAAATTGTCATGGGAGAGTAGCGTCTATTGTGAGTATTCCCTTTGTATGTGACATTTACGTAAAACCATAATATATGAAAGAAATTTCCTTTCCGCATAAGATAATATCGGTGCGTTCCCTTACAGGCTACGTGTATTTTGTTTCCTCCCAAAGGATTTGTTTGTCTGTACAGCTGAGCCCTTGAATTATGTGCAGGATACTTGTTCTGAATGCCCCGAGCACAATGGACAGGAAGGTGAGCGAAAGGTTTTCCGCTTTATAGTACAATTGTCGTTTTGTTGTACTCGTACCTACAGATTTGTTTATTGGTCCTCTAAAACGCAAAGGTTGATTATTCGCAGGCTTTATTCAGTTCTTCGATTGATGCTTAACAATATACCTTAATAAACTACGTACCTATGTGTAAATATCTAAATATTTTTTTAAGTAAAATTTTCTTTAGTTTTGTAGATCTAGCAGTTAAATATAGTTAACAGAAACATAAATAGGCATGGTTTTATGAAAACACGTTTTTAATTGTTTATCTAGATTCAGTTGATGTTGTTTTGGCTTATGGAAAATAAAAAAGAAAAGTCCTTCTTCGACTGGGAATCGAATCTGGCCGCCCGTGTGGTAAGCGAGATTTCTACCTCTGAATAATCGATTCTTGTTGATAAGATCTGCATTTTTTTGGGTAATCAATTAGCATACTATGAATGAGCATACAAACATATGCCCCGCCTGATGGATTCCAAAGTGTCTCCGAAAGTTGTTTACTATACAGGGCGTCCCACGGCTACCTCACACGGAGGGAAAGTATATTAAATATTGAAGATAGGACATGTTACTGAAACAAGACATCATTTTATTTTTAATAATAACTAGAATGCATTCACAGGTTTTTTTAAAATCGCCTGTTTCAACTGGGATTCAAACTCGTGAAATTTCGAAAAAAAAAACACGACATATTTTATGACAACCATCAAAAGGGTTAATCATAAGGATTATGTTTTGCTAAATAACATAGCATTTCGAATGAAAGGAATGTCTTATTACGTGATAAAAATAATAAAGTGATATACAAATTGTGGTACATATGCATTTCTTTTTGAATTCAGTTAAGTACAATGCGATTGGCTGAAATTTGTAATTTTTCGAAAATGGATCAAATGAATTTTCAAGCCTGTGTTCTTTTGTTTTTCCTGAGTTTCATTTTCGTTTATTTGCAATTTTTTGTTAATTTACTTACCATGGCGCATCATAATAAAATAGATTTAATGTAAGCTTACTTTATGAACCACAAAAACATATCATTAGCTTAGCGGTGGTACCGCAAAAATATATCCTGATACAGACAAATCTTCTCGATATGTGTTTAAATAGTGAAAGAAAGATAGAGATAGATTTTTGATAAGCCATGGTAAGTAAATTAACAAAAAAATGCAAAAAAATGAAAATGAAACTCACAAAAAACAAAAGAACAGACACTTGAAAATTTATGTGTTCCATTATCGAATTATTATTATTACATGTTTCTGCCAGTCGCATTGTAACTGTGAGTTCAAAAAGAAATGCATACGTACTGTTATAAATAAGATATGTATGTAATATTGCAGATAGGGCTGCCAGACAGCTGACTAAGCAATATGGTCTCACGTCCGCGTCCAAGCCATCTTGGTTAGTCAGTCGCATCACAGCCCTACTCGCGAGCGGTCATTTCTAACTAAATAAATAGTGTGTGAAAATAAAATCTCTTTTTTAAAAAGACATCCGAAGGATCCCGTATAACAGTACTAACTACAGTTTGTATATCACTTTATTATTTTTATCACGTAATTCACATTCCTTTCATTTAAAATGCTATGTTGTATAGCAAAAAATAATCCTTATGATTAACCCTTTCGATGGTTATCATAAAATATGCCGAGTTATTTTTTTCGAAATTTCACGAGTTTGATTCCCAGTTGTAGCAGGTGATTTTAAAAAAAAAATGTGAATGCAGTTCTAGTTATTATTAAAAATAAAATGATGTCTTCTTTCAGTAAAATGTTCTATCATAAATATTTAATATACTTTCCCTCCGTGTGAGGTAGCCGTACTCTGGGAGCCCTGAAACCTTACTCAGAACCACAACACCACCAAAAGGTGTTGAGCATATGGCTCGGCCGGTGGTAAGTCAATATCATAGTCGCTTGCGACAGTATGTGATCATCATCACCAGCCTGTTAATGTCCCCACTGCTGGGACACAGGCCTTCCCTATGGATGGAGTACGGATGATTGGGCCGAGACCCATAACGCGGGCCTCGTTCGGATTTGTAGGTGCTAACGACTTCAGATGCAGTCGGGACCGACGGTTTAATGTGTCTTCCGATTATAGGTTTCTCTTTCTCGTTCAAGCCACTCGAAACCTTTTTCCTCGTGGATACAGCAATGATATGAAATACAACACAAAAACTTGTTTCTCCAATAGTTAATATATGGAAAATTTTGTTGAAATATGTGTAAAATTCCCTAATAAGTCACAAGCATGTAATAGAGGTAAATGAACTAAAACAATAAATTTACCTACTAACTTCAGTGTAAACAGTCGCATAACAAATAATTGAGACCTATTGTATTATTTTAGCAATAGTTGCCAGACTTTTTTTGATGTTGTTTTGAATGCCGTGCTCATTTTTCGCATTGTAATAATTTATATTCTGAAGAGGTTAAAATATATAAGTACTTAATGTTTACAGCGTCCTAAACAACTAGACATTATACATACATAAATAATAACATATCATTATTTTGCGTACTGATAAAACGTTAACATTTGACTTGAATAAGATGAAAGTAATCCGTTATCTTTGTGACTAATTATCGTAATAAATAATACTCCCGGACACATACATCGGCCCACTTAGCGTTTAAAGTTTACTGTCCCTAGCTAAAAAAATATTTTAGATACATTGAGCAAAAAAAATTACGCAGTTTTGAAGCTGACTTATTAACAATCTTATTCGTATGTTTTTAAAAATATATTATTACCTAACATATGTTTTTGCTACATACTGTTGAAGCTTGTAACGCTCGGTGGGTCGATAGATGTCTCTGGAAGTGTATTTACTTTGTATTTACTCACTTTGACAATTCACTAAGCTCCACCCCCGGGTCCTCGCTCGAGCTGATGTCTGATAAATTTGACATTTCTGTCATTTTGTTGTTTCTGAAAAAGGTAGAGAAGAAAACTGGTTAATATTAGAGTAATGAACGAAAACGTCAAACTAGTAAAATTGGTATCTAATCTAATCAGCTATAATAGTGTTTCTGGGTGAATTGATCGATTCAAGTGGCGGTTTAATGGTTTAACTATCAGATTGGGGTTATGAAGGCAGTTGTCCGTCGGCGAGGAAGCGACTAACTATCGACTTTTTTCTCGCTCGAGAAACGTACAATAGATATACATTCCGTGTTAAAAAACCGGCGTGCACTCTCTCCACTAGTCCGTCGCTGAACGACAAGACCTCAAACATAGTACTTGCTCAGCGATGCTCGCTTGTCTCAAAATGCGCGCGTGTGAATGTTTGATCAGTATTGTCTCCGCGAATGAGAGCGAGAGATTTATTTTTAAAAGGTTGTTTCGGAAGGTATTTAAATATGTAAAACAATTATAGTAATATAAGTTATTTACGGGATTGTTACCATGTACCTTGTTTTTAGCGAGTTTCCGATATTTCGGCACTGTTGCAAGCGCCATGATCACGGAGTAACTCATCGCTAAAAACAAGGTACATGGTAACAATCCCGTAAATAACTTATACTATAATGTTAGTGACCATGAAAGTTTAAAACAATATAATGTAAAACAATATCCACACTTGTATGTATTGCAAACAGATAGTTTCAAGAATTTGAATAAGCAGAATGTTGGTTTTTAACATCACAAATTTACCAGTACATTCGACGATATAATTTTGTTTTTTTTATATATACAGAAGGCCCAACAAATTTCCTCACCCTAAATTTAGATTACCTTTAAACTAAGTCCACATAAAATATATTCGGTGCAACAGAAGAATGTGACGCATCATCTATTCTCACTCTGAACCTCTTTTAACCTTTAGCACTCGTAGAGCTGTGCTGGTTTTCAAGTACATAATATCCTAAATAAAACTAGTTTTTCACGGGTTAATGCACGAAACTTTATTTATTTAGGATATTATGTACTTGAAAACCAGCTCACTAAACGTCAATAAATAAATAAAGTTTCGTGCATTAACCCGTGAAAAACTAGTTTTATTTAATGAGTGATGTGCGTGATAACCTAAGAAACAAATACATAATATCCTAGCTTCAAAATACACATTTGGTGAAAATTTTGCCTTTCTACAATTATTAAAATGATAATAAAGTAAGAAATATTTCTTACACTCACACCAAATTAGCCTAGCCCCAAAGTAAGCACTACAGGCTTGAGTTATGGGATACTTGGATAACGGATAGAATACATATACATAATGTATGTTTATCTAAAACAATGTAATTAATTTGGAGAATTAAATATGAATAAATTTAAGAATAATTAAAACAAAAAATATACTATAACAATGAACCTAAAACTAAAAACCTTAAAAAATAAAATATAATAACTATTATCTAAAACTATCTGATGTATATTTACCTAGAAATACATATTTAACATTCATGATTGGAGTACAAATGCTCGTATTCGTCACACAAACATCTGCTCTCACATGGATTCAAACCCGGGACCTATCGAGTAGGCGACATCTTGAAACGGCGTACAAACCACTTGGTCACGGATGTCGAATTGGTAGAATTTCCAATCATGAGATCTGCGCCCGCCCCCGCAGATTGAAACTGATGGCTATACTTATGAGACAGAGTTAAGTTTTCATCGTTAGGATACGGACCAAAAAAAGGTTTACTTTCCGATATAACTTTTTGCGGGAAACAAGTTATTATTTGTATTAATATAATATGTTGTTAACTGTACCGGCAACGTGGAAATCATTCCAATTCACATTACATCACACCGGTTCTGAGGTTAGCGGAACAATTTAACGTGACCCCGCCAATTAAGGCACTCAGTCATGGCTAAAGTACGGTTACCTACGCGATGATTCAACAATTTCCAAGTAAACGTAGTAAGAATTGACAAAAATACCGGCTGTTTGCGAATCATGTATCAGAAAATTTGCTCGTGATTTGCGAATAGGTGATGACTAATTCCACTCGATTGGGATTTGGAAGAGCATTCGCAGGTCACAAATGTTCTAATATCGCCTGTTGCCTCAGACAAGTTGATGTAGTTTACTTAATTCACTTGGGTTAATTCAGGTGACATTTTTCTAGTGAATTTCTGAACATTTGCAGTTTTGAGAAGCTGTGTAGGCATACGCACTGGGTATACTAACACACCGCCGCGCGTATAGTGGGTAGTATCCTGTTTTTGATGGAATAGGGAGCTTGGGTCATAACTCACCACGTGGGTCCAGTGCGGAGTGGTATATAAATATTTTTAACTTCGTTCCAACCGAGTGCTCCACGACACTCACACAATTGTTTTTTGTGACAGACGCTTGCCTATTTTGTTTCCTATACTTTATATATGATAGGTATATCATTTATTTATATACAATCTCGGTGGCCGAGTGGTTTGTAAGGTGTCGCGTACTGGAGAGGTTCCCGGATTCAAATCCCGGTGGAGACAGATATTTGTGTGATGAACTCGAGCATTTGTACTCCAGTCAGGGATGTTTAATATTTATTTCTATAGAGATATTCTTATGCTTGCATATATGTATCAGTAATATTGTATTCTATAAGTTACTCTAGTAACCCATAAAACCAGACTACAGTGCTTACTTTGAGGCTAGCCTAATTGGTGTGTGTTAGCAATATTTATTTATTTTTCAAGTTCAAATGCTCTAATCTAATTCTTCTATGTAAATGTGCTAAAGTATTATTCAAGTCTTTTTTTTGTTAGAACTGACTTCATAAATTGTAAGCATCAACGAAAACATTAGAGGCTTTGCTTACGTAGATTTAAGTATATTGCGCATTATTTTAGATATAAACGTAATCTCTGACAACTACAGCTCTAACTTTATGTCATTATAAGCCTCGTACAGAAGTTGATTTACTTACATTGTTTTGTTTTGTTATTAACTTACAAGTATCTAAGCAAGACCTGTCGTGATTCAAGTAGATTTAACATGTAACTAATATAGTTGAATAGATTTCAGTCCATGTTTCCAGAAGACATTTTCGGACGAGTTAACAATGTAATTCTACATCACATCGATCAACAATACGCTCACGCAACGATGATCACACATAAAGGCAATAGAAAATATAACAAAATGCTATCAGTGGAGGTTACAGTAGTGAACTCCGCCGTGCCCACATCAACAACGAGTGTACCAATATTTTATACTCAAAGGTCGATATGCACTCATGCAGCCTCTTCCCGCAAATACTCTTTACCCTAAGTTTGACCAAGCCATTTCGGCAAATCCCGTGACAAATTCCAATTTCGGGCTTTGACAAAATTATTTTTTATTTTATTTTTCTTACGCTGGCAAAGCCTCTATTTACAGACGTTGGCGACATCAACGAACGGACCTCACACCTAGCCACTCGCACGTCTCACGGGTGCGAAACGGGGAAGCCGGAGCCGGAGATTTTGTAAAAGGGCTCTTAAGCAGTCCACGCGGCTTACGAGCGCTTACGGCATTCTATCCGCTAAGAAACCTTGCGAATATCCTCTGTACGCTGTTAAGTGCGGAACCACGAGATCCCCGTTGAGGGATTTCTCCTCGACTAGTCTTATTTGGCCGAACCTTTAAAACTTATCAATATTACTTTTTCATACTTAAACATGAGGTTGTATTAAACAATTGATGAGGTCTGAATATGAATCGTTTTCCAACGCATTCTCTGTTTTAATAAAGCTGTATAATATGCGGCGTGAAAATATGTTATGGGTATGTTTACAATTTATGTTATGACCCAGGCCATAATGTATTTGAATTGTTCACATTATTTCTACCCGTCAGACATCGTGATTCAGTTTAAAATGTGTACCTACCCATCTTTTCGTTTCGGATCACTGCGGTCACATGCGACTGATCACGTTAAAAAACGGCTAATCACAATCAATATACTTAGTTCGTTCAAGTCTGGAGTTTAAAAGCGGTTTAATTAAGTATCTACAATATACGTTAATTGTGGTTGTGTCCATAGTTGGAAAATGAGAGAGATGGAACTAATTATTGGAGTTAACAAACTTTTTAACTCATCTCTTTGAGAGTACGGCAGTGCTATTCGGTAAGAACAAACTCAGTTTTCACCTCGGAATCTGCGCTGTGATTTAAAATTAGAATACGAATCTATCTATATGTGTATATCTTTATTTATATAATTCTTCTGTGAGTGTGTATGTCACTGAACTTCTCTTAAACGACTGGACCGATTTTGATGAAATTTTTTGTGTGTGTTGAAGGGGATCTGAGAATGGTTTAGATTCACAATTTTGTCCGCTGGACAATGTTTTTTTAATTAATTTTTTTTATGGCGGTACGAAGTTCGCTGGGTCAGCTAGTATATATATAATTCTTCTGTGAGTGTGTTTGTCACTGAACTTCTCTTAAACGACTGGACCGATTTTGATGAAATTTTTTGTGTGTGTTCAAGGGGATCTGAGAATGGTTTAGATTCACAATTTTGTCCGCTGGACAATGTTTTTTTAATTAATTTTTAATTTATTAGTAGTTGTTGATTTTGGAATGTTTTACATTGGATCCGACAGACGGCGCTACCATACTAGACAGGACAACGTCTGTCGGGTCCGCTAGTGTGTATATAAAACTCAAAGGTGACTGACTGACATAGTGATCTATCAACGCACAGCCCAAACCACTGGACGGATCGGGCTGAAATTTGGCATGCAGGTAGATGTTATGACGTAGGCATCCGCTAAGAAAGGATTTTGATCAATTCTTCCCCCAAGGGGTTAAAATAGGGAATGAAAGTTTGTATGAAACTTTGTCAATTTTAAACCGATCGGGCTGAGACTTTGCATGCAGGTATAAGAAGAATCATAGATGAATGTCATTGTGTATAATACAAGCCTGAGAACAAAAACTGTAGTCTACACTTCAGCTCTACACCGAAGCGAAGCGAGGGCGGGCCGCTAGTTAC